TTTTGTAAACAAAAAACTCATCCCATCAAGTTGACTCTGTTTTACGGCGATCCTCTTGGACAGAGGAGGACTGCGCTTGGAGTTTTCACAGACAAACTCTTTACAGGTATAGAGAGCCTCAATTTTCTTTTGCAACCAGATGGTGATTTTCAATTGCCATTCTGTAAGTTAGCAGTTCAATTCACAATTCACTACATTGTTAGGGCCCCTTTGTTTTTAAAATGGAACAGGTATATTACTTAATGAAATAGAAAAATGAGATGTGGAAATTTTTCAAAGACGTGAAAGTATAAAAGATACATAACCATCTTTGGAACCTTGAAAATAATTAAGATGTTTACCTTTGTTTTCTAAACCTGCCTCAAAAAGTTATTATTTCTTTTTTTGGAAAGTAACACACTGCTACCCTTTTCCACCTCCCAAAGGAGGCTGATCTTAATTTTTGGTACATGTGCTCATTTTCCCTATGAGAAGACTTTCTCATTTCTTTTTCTAAATGATTCCCCAAATAAGATCTTTTTCAATTATGAAAAGAAATCTCTAGAAACAATAATGAGAGGAAAAGGTCCTCCTCATATTTCTATACAAGAGCCCAGTAACCCTTCAATTTAACTAAACTTAAAGATTTTCTTAATTTTTGTCAATTGCTGCCAGAATGTATGCGCACAAGAGTGTTTTGAATGGTTTTTATGATCAAGTATTTTATGACCATAGTATTTAGTGATCTTTTTTTAATTAAATCATTTTATTGGGGGCTCATACAACTCTTATCACAATCCATACATCCATGCATTGTGTCAAGCACCTTCGTACATATATTGCCATCATCATTCTCAAAACATTTGCCTTCTACTTTAGCCCTTGGTATCAGCTCCTCATTTTTTCCCTGCTTCCCCTCCCCCCCCCAACCCTTGATAATTTATAAATTATTATTATTTGTCTTAAACCATCCGACGTCTCCCTTCACCCACTTCTCCGCTGTCCGTCCCCCAGAGAAGAGGCTAAATGTAGATCCTTGTAATCTGTTCGCCCTTTCTCCCTCACCCTTCCTCCACCCTCCTGGTATCGCCACTCTTACCACTGGTTCTGAGGGGCTCATCTGTCCTGGATTCCCTGTGTTTCCAATTCCTATCTGTGCCAGTGTACATCCTCCAGTCCAGCCGGATTTGTAAGGTAGAATTGGGATCTTGATAGTGGGGGGAAGGAAGCATTCAAGAACTAGAGGAAAGTTGTATTTTTTCATCATTTAATGATCTTTTAATGTCATACATTATTTTTCTTTTTTTAGAAGTTCCAGAGAATTGGCTCCAAAGAGCAAAACTCCTGGTATGTATCAATGACTCATTACCTTTATATGCAGTTGATTATTTAATAACATAAATGAATTATACATAAGTAAAGAGTTGGGAATATAGTCTCTTATAATTATCTATTTTAATTTTTTAATTGGAGAAATTATTTGTACCCTGTACCCTGCCATGGTGGATATATAGACAGAGATTATCAGGGAAAAATATATCTAGTTTTTCTATTTGTCAAATCAGACATATCTTTAAGTGCATTATTATATGAATTATATCATAATCAGTTAATGCCGTGCCAGTAAACATCAGCAAAAATAGATTAATTTCTGGGTGAAAAGCAAGGTTAGGGTTTCTTAGATCGATTCGTTAGTAACAAATGTAATGCACTTCCTTTCCTTGTTCTCCCTTGTCTCTAACTCCTCTGCCCTCTTGAGACTGTCTTCATGACCCTCCGTGGCCATGTCTGAAACAAGCGTTAAGTATAACTTTCTTGGAATTTGCGCAAATATAAGATACCAGGCTCACCTCAAACTCGGGCATGTGATTTTTCAAGCTCTAATTCCTTTAAAAACTTAATGTGTATCTGATCCTTTTTGGTTCTAATCAATCTGTTCATGGCTAATAACCACACTGGTAACTTTTTTTATTATTCATTTTATTGGGAGCTCTTACAACAATCCATAATTCTTATAAGCTCTTATAACAATCCATAATTCAATTAGGTCAAGCATAATTGTAAAATTGCTGCCACCATCCACTTTCAAAACATTTTCTTTCTTCTTGCACTCCTTGATATCAGTTCCCCTTTATCCCCTCCCTCACCCACGCGAACCTCCAGGAACCCTTATTATATATTAGTATTATTCCGTATCTTACATCATCCAGTGTATTCATTCACCCACAAGGCTGTTATTTGTTCCCCTCGAGTGGGGTTATACAATCATGATTACTGTCAGCCCCCCACCCCTTTCATCCGGTACTCACAGGGGATCATTATTCTGGCTATTAATAGATATAGCATCTTAAAGGCTGGAAGTTAAACAAGCAGCCATCTAGCAAGGAAGCAACATAGCCCACACAGCCTGTGCCATCATGAGGTATTGACAGGAATGGGTATCAGAAGTTCAAAGACAAGCAATCCAATTGACATGAAGGAGCATGGACAAAGAACCCACCTGTAAGATAATTGGACAGTTCGTCATAGAATGGCCACATGGAAGGGATGATATCCAGGTTGCGGTATAGCATTAAAGAAGCGCATCATTATCCTCTAGTTCTTTAATGTTTCTTCCCCTTAATATTATGGTCTTTGTTTTGCCTCATCTGCATGTGTTCATTTGTATAATTAAGATAATTTGATGCATAGATAACCCTTCAGAAAACCCTTTTTTATAGCTAGTTCTCAAAACTGTTATTTCTGTTTTTCGTTAACCCTATTGTCACTCAGTGTTTGCCACATTAAGACTATCAGGAGAGTGTGGGAAGACTACACCTAATCTCTTTGATTTATGGACTTTTATTGCTAAACATATTCCCAAGCTTAATCTCTTTTCTTCTGGGAATCCGGAACCTTCTTGATCCTTCAGGTTCCCATATATCTAAACTGTTTACTCTAGCTTTTGCATGTCACCTGGCCAATCTTTCTTGAACTCTTCTCATTGTTTGTAATACCTTGCCAAAGACAAGCAACAGTGGCTAGCATATACTAATATTGTTATTCTTTCCAATCACCTACCTTAACTCTACAAACTCAGTAGACAAGTGATTTGTTATCACTGGGGACCATTTTACCTATTCCCTTAGCACACGCATTGCACCCATGCTCATTTCCAACTGCAAATTTTTATTTTCTTATCACCTGCCACTGGGAACTACTCATAGTAGACTCCATCTGATATAACAAATAACTGCCGAATGTCGGTAGTTTAGTTATTTGTCACAGTCCTTCAGCTCTAAGCAGTCTCCTTCCCTCTCAGACATCTGCTCCAGAGTCTTCATCATTCAACCAGTGGCAGGGAGGAGAGAGCAAGACAGAATGGAGAATTAAATGTGAGGTGTTTATTGTCTAGGTCTTTTTCTCATATTCCATTGGCTGTAATTCCGTTACATGACCTCAACTAACTGTAAGACTAATGGTAAATATACTCTATTTGTATGCTTATGGGGAAAAGGAAACCATAATTAGCAAACATGACCATCTGTCACATTTATTGTATATTCACGAGCATAGATTAACTGTAAGTAGGTAGTCCCACACTTCCTCAGTGGATAGGTAGGTTGTTTATTTGCTTGCTTACCTTATCTGTTTAAAATATTTAACTCAGGGACTTACTTACGAATGCAAATTTATTCAGATAATATTATTAGGTGTCACCCAGTTGATTCCAATTCATATCAACCCCAAGTGAAGAGTAGAACTTCTCCCATAGGGTTTTCTTGGCTGTAATCTTTCCGGAAGCAGGTTGCCAGTCTTTCTCTCTCTGGGTAGGTTTGAACCAACAGTCTTTCAAAAAAGTATCTTGAGATTTCTGAACATTCTGACATTTCTGCAGAAGATATGGAACACTTGAATCCGTGTGCAGTGGTATTTTAGAAGTTTCATCACAAACTATGTGACTCATATGTATATTATTATAACAAGGGTCTTTTAAAGAAATATTTTAAAGGCTGTTGACATTGGCGTTTAGCTGGAGCCACACTTAAGCATTCATCTGCTAACCAGAAGGCTGGCAGTTTGAGCCCACACAGCTGTTCCCTAAGAGGAAGAACTGCCTTTCTGCTTCTGTAAAAATTACAAGCAAAACAAAAGCAACAACTACGGGGCAGTTGGCACCCAATGTCAACTAAATACTGATACACACAGTGAGCCCTATCAGAGCCAGTCCCTGATGGGATGGCCTTGTTTTTCTGGGACTCAAAGTTTTCCTTGGGCACAGGTACAGTCTTACCACTGATCTGTTACTCATTTTCATGGAAGGAAGTTGAGTGTGTCTTCCCTGACAGGTTTCTGCCGTATATGGCTTCACAGATTTGCTATATGTCCTCTTACTTTTCCTTTCAGAAGGGAACCCTGGTGGCATAGTAGGTTATGAGCTGGGCTGCTAACTTCCAGGTTAGCAGTTCAAACCCACTAGCACAGGAGAAATATGACACTTTGTGGTTCCCAAAAGATTGACAGCCGCATACCCACAGAGATAGTTCTCCTGTATTTTGTCAACTTGAAATGAGTTGGAATCATCGGCTAGGTTACTAAGCATCCAGACATGCTGGAATCATGTCTTCACAGGCTAGTGTGTCTTCCCTAAATAATACTTTACTTTTTCAAAATAATATACTTGAAATGTCTCCTGATATAGTGATGAAAAACTAGAATATCTGGAGGATAATTTTATGACCAAAAGAAGAAAAAATGACTCACACTTGAGAAATTTCATAACTTACTGTTTCACAGAAGGAAGTGAAATCAATTGACCTTTTAAAATAATTTAAAATAAGAATTTTCTAACGCTCTATACTCCATGCACAGCAATTATAAGCTAATACATACAGGATACCTCCTCCCCATTTTTTTTTTTTCCACTATAAGCATTCTCTGTTGGCTAAACTGCATTTCCTTTATGTCGATGTAAATAAGCCAACATAGCATTTTTTAGGAAGCACTCAATTAGTTGTTCTATTTAACTTAAAATTCAATTCATTGAACCTTTTAATTCAACATGTTTTCTGTTGGACATGGGTATTCTATTTAAGTAGTATAACTAGATTTCTTCCTTCGGTGGTGATTTAAAGAAGATGAAATGTATTTCCAGGATTTGCTAACTAGGTATGTCATTCATTTTCATTATGTTTTCTTCTCCCAGGCTTTCAGCAAAGTGAACCTCAGACTAAGAATCAGTGTAATACGAGGAAACAAAGAACACTTGATAATGCAAGACTGCAGCTGCCGCTTCATCCGTCATGGGAAGCAAGCAGGAGGCAAAAAGAACAGCAGTCTAAAATCCCTGTGTTTCAAGGGAAAAAAATTACATTTGATGATTGATGCATGACACTTTTTGTGAAATTTTCTATCCTTAAAATTTTATTTAAGCTTCTGATTGAATACATCTCATTTGTGTGATGTATAGATATGTTTTTCTCTTTTTTAAATGTGGTGTTGAAGTTATGTTCATGTAAGCTTCACAAATCAACTATGTAACTAACGTATTTTTCATAATAGGTCTCAGGCTATTTCCTCTATAAAAGAACTTGGGATTTATATCTATTTTACCAGATTTTCATATTGTACTTATCATGAAGAGAGTCACACTGGTTTACCCGTAGGATTTTTCCCTTGAAAATAAATGTTGAGATATATTTCAATTAGTAGGAGAAAACTATAAGGAAAATGTAGCTATTTAACCTACTGAGATAACCTTTGTTAAGTTGTTCTTGTTAGCAAAATTAGATTAATAACTCTAATTGTGGCTATAGATTTGTATAACTAGTTAATCAAATAAATATAAATTTTTTAAACTTTAAATTGTTTGGGTTTTTTGTTTTGTTATTTGTTAGACTTGTCAACCCGTTTTTTATTATGAAGTAGCAGCAAAAATTATTTTATAGTTGGGGCTCACCACAGCATGAGGAACTATATTAAAGGGTCACGGCACTAGGAAGGTTGAGAAACACTGGTGTAGCAGTAGACGGCAAGAACTCTTCCATTTAGGCATGGGAAACTGAAGTTGTGTGTAATGCAGGTGCGAAATACTTGTTAAAATAATCATTTACAAGTATTTGGAAACCACATGCCTGTTGGCCCTATAGCTCCAAGAAATGAATTTGGAAAGAATGATGATTGCTAACTGTTTGCGTTCAGCAAGATGATAAGGAAACAAAAGAGATCACCTGGGCAATAACTTGCAAGTCAAAACCAAGAAAACCCAACCTTTTATACCTGTAAAACAAAACATCTTCCACACAGGTCCATTAAGAATTTACATTCCAAAGGAGATGTGAGCGTGGGTGTGGGATTCACTCCTACATTTGATTGTCTTAAGGTATGGGGCAAAAAAGGGAGGGGAAAAAATCTCACTGCCATCAAGTCAATGCTGATGCACAGCAACCCTGTAGGACTCCTTGAGTTTCCAATACTGCTCACTTTGGGCCATCAGAAAGGCCCATCTTTCTCCTGAGGAGCTTCTGGTGGTTCAGAACTGCCAACCTCGCAGATCACAGTCCAATGCCTAACCACTGCACCACCACAGCACCCAGGAAAAAATAAGGCAAGCTCAGTTGTCTTTATGAGGGAACTTTGGGAAGTGCTATTATGTCTAAATGAATAACTTTCCCTCAGAAACTATCATCGGTGTTTTTTGTGATCCCAAAGAGAACAAGCCTGGACTGAAGCAATCTTTGGGTTGCTTGCAGTGAAAAGGTGTCAAAACATTGAGACCCCAAGCTGTTGCAGGGAGGGAGTGGGTTGCAAAAGCTCTACGGTTCCCAAGGAGGACACTCCCCATCATTTAAGCCATATATGACTGGCGTGTAAGTTGAAATAGCAGTGAGTTTGAGGTTTTCTGAGTGTATTAAATATTAAGTGATAACTTCCAGGAGGGTAGACCCAGCG